AAATGTGTCAATGTTTCAAGCTTATACAGGGCCAGGGATATAGCTCAGCAGCAGAAGCGCCTGCCTGGTGAGCACAAGGTCCTCAGCTAGACTGCTGGCACCAAAGAAAAAAAATAAATGTATGCATTTTGTATTACAAGCACCAGGACTGTGTGTAGTTCTAGATATTTTAAGGTTTTTTTCATTAATTCCTTAGGTATTTCAATAGTTTCTTTTTTCAAAATGATTCAACATCCCAAGTGAGAATTCTGATGTATGTGTCCAACTACATTGTATATAAACACCTCACTGTCCCAATACCATTGGATAAGCCATCTTTTATCAATTTTAAAAGGCAATTAATTTAATGCATTTCTAGTATCAATATTTAACTCAAAATTGTGTGACTAAAACTCTACTTATTGAGCTTTCTATTGTAAGCAGTATTATCAGTTGATCTACAAAAGATGAGAATTTAGCCGGGGAGGTAGCTCAGTAGAATAAGCGCCTGCCTGGCAAGTGCGGGGTCCCAAGTTCAATCCCCAGTACCACAAAAAAAAAAAAAAGATAAGAATTTGGTTTACATCCACCAGCCTCTTTTGATAGCTTACTTATGCTTTTATTGATTGTTCTAATAGGTCTCATCAGTATGAAGGGTTGTAGTAAATAAACAAGAGGTCAGGGGGCTCCGGCTTTCTCTGTACTTTTAGTTCTTATGAAAAGAACATTGAAGGCCAGCCAAAGAGCTCAGTGGACTAAAGTGCCTGCTTAGGCAGAGCACAGTGGCCGGGATTCAATCCCCCGGCATGCCGTGCTGGCCCCACCCCCAGGGGCATGCTGAGACTGCAATTGAGACTGGGCTTGGTCACGTGTGCCTATAATCCCCAGCCAGTGCTTGGGAGGCTAAAAACAGGAGGAATACTGCAAGTCCAATCTACATAGTGAGACCCTGTAGACCCTGTAGACCCTGTCCTAAATACATAAAACAAAAATCTGAGAAAAGAACATTGATGTAATTTACTACAGACATATATTGGTATTTAACTTGGGAGTCTAATGTCCCTAGCAGATGGATAGATTTCAGTCTAAGGCAGCTAAGCTTCAGATGGTCATAGGCAGTCAGATGACCCGGCCATGTCTGCATAAAGCAAATGCCTCCCTATAGCCAGTCAAGCTATTTCTCTGCATTTATTATTTCCTACAAGTACTAACTTTCCACATTGCAGAAAGGAGTGCTTTGGGCCTCTTCTCGTTCTGAGTGCTACCTGACTTATGAATCCTTTATTGCTCAAGATGACTTTAACTTATAACACTAGACCTTCTCAGAAATATGAAGGCAACAGACCATAGCAGTGTAATAATTGTGCTGCTCTTCCCACTCCATATTGTCCATGAGCTGCCATAGTAATACCAATAATAATCATTGTCTTGGTTACTTTTTACCCATCCATTGCTGAGACAAATACCCAAGACACTCAAAATGAAGGAAGGAGGGGCTGGGGAGATAACTCAGTAGAATAATCACTTGCCTGGCAAGCCTAAGGGTCTGAGTTCAATCCTCAGTTCCACAAAAAAAAAAAAAAAAAAATGAAGGAAGGAAAGTTTTATTCAGTTCACAGTTTGGGCAGGTTTCAGTCCATATGCAGCAGCAGCTACAGCTTCTCCCAAGCTTCTGTCTCCTCCTTATACTGTGAACAAGCTACCCTGGGGGTGTAGAACTCACACAATGTCCATGCCCTCCTCTTGCACAGGATGAGGATGTTTACAAAGTAAGAACCCTGGCTCCCTGCTGAGTCACTTAACTAAACTTCTAAACTTCTCAAATTGACACAATGTATCAACCAGTACAATAATAATAATAATAATAGAGACTCGCAAACAATACAGGATGGCTAAGGGGGACCCCAAGAAACCAAAGGGCAAGATGTCTGCATACGCCTTCTTTGTGCAGACCTGCAGAGAGGAGCATAAGAAGAAGAACCCGGAGGTTCCTGTCAATTTTGCAGAATTTTCCAAGAAGTGCTCAGAGAGGTGGAAGACAATGTCTGGGAAAGAGAAGTCGAAGTTTGATGAAATGGCCAAGGCAGATAAAG